ATAGCAGCGCTGGTGACGATACTGGTGGCGATACTGGTGGCGATATTAGTGGCGATACTGGTGGCGATACTGGTAGCGATATTGGTAGCGATATAAGTGGCGATACTGATGGCGATACTAATAGCGATATTAATGGCGATATAAGTGGCGATACTGGTGGCGATACTGGAGGTGATATTAGTAGCAAGGCAATATTGGAGGCGATACTGGTGGCAAAGCAATGCTGGTGGCGATACTGGTGGCAAGGCAATACTGGTGGCAAGGCAATACTAGTAGTAGTATAAATAATAATAAAGTGAAAACTAATAAAGTATTAGTAAAGTGTTAATAAGGTTTTAATCATAATTATTAATAAAGTTAATAGTAATTTAATTAAGTGTAATAATCGAATTATAAAGTATAGCAATCGAGTGCACTCGATTATAAATCGAGTACTCGGTATAGCAACCAAGTGCACTCGGTTGTAAATCGAATACTCGGTGTTCACTCGGTTATAAATCGAATATACGTTTTTGGAATTATCCGAACCATAATCGAGTATACACCGAGTATTCGATTTATAACCGAGTGCACTCGGTTGCTACACTAAAACGTTAAGGTGTAAGTAAAGTGTAATTAAGGTGTAAGTAAGGTGTTGCAACCGAATGCACTCGATTGCTACACCTCGGGGTTGCGCCCGTAAGTTTTTATTTTAATAAAGCTGATTTAATGTGTATCGGATCGTATCGAAAAGAAATACTTTCGATTCCGTTTTAATTTCGAAACGATACTTTTAAATACGAGCAAGTTTTAAAAAAAAGTTTGTAAAACGATAAACGATCTCAATTTAAAGCGACGTTAAAAAGCTTTAAAAGCATAACGAGAATTTATTAAAAAATCTATACGAGAACGCGTTAAAGCGCTTATGCGAGCAGCTAATAGCGGCAATGCGGAAGCTTTTTGTATTAACGATTTTAATACTTTATATAATTCGGTAGCGATGTATTATATTAGCGGATTTATATATTTACGTATTTAATACAAAAGCTATTATTACATCGATAAAGATTCGAGCACGTACCGCGGCCTCGCGAGTTATTTTATATCCGATAAAAACGCTCTTTTAATAAAAACAAAAGTTTAATCTACTTATAGCTAGCTTAAAGTTATTTTCGTTAAGCTAATAAAAATAAATAAACTCGAGCTCGCTTATATTACGATTTTAAATCGAAACGCTTCGCGATCAAAAGACTTACGCAATCTGCTCGTTACGCTATTAAAAGCTTTTAAAACTGCACTTAAACTAAAAGCTAAGCCTTTTAAAACTATTAAATCATACGAAAGTCTTAGCAAACTGATCTTTTTTTTAAGAATAAACTACGAAAAGACTCGTATTAAGCTTTTAAAAAGACGTGATTTTCTTAAGAATCTAATTCTTAATAAAACTATTACGTTCTTCGCTGCTCTTTTTACTTTTAAACGATCTTCTTTCGAAAGTATTATCGATAAAATGATTTAGCAAACCTTTATTAACGAGAGCGCTATCAATTGCTTTTAAGTTACGGTTAGCGTTGCGAAAGCTTTAAAAAATTGCTTAATTATAAGTAGTAAGCTTATATCGAAAGCGACGGATAATACGATGAAAAACGAAGCTACTTTAAAGCTTTCGCGACTTATTTAAAAAAAAAAATTTCTTTATTCGACGGCGATTTATTTTATAAAGTTACGAGTCGCTTTATCGGTAAAGCGTTATATCGCAAGAATCTACTTTCTTCTCTTTCTTTTGCTACTTTTACTTATAGCCGAATCATTATTAAAGCGGATCTTATATAAATCTTTACTCGATTAAAACGGATTTTATATCGAAATGCTATTGCTTAACGCTCTTAGCTCGAACGCTTATTCGAGTTCTTTTAAATATTTAAGCTTTAATTACAAAAGAATATTCGTAACAGCTAGATTAAGCACCGCCGACGCTTTACGCTTTTAACACTCGAAACGCTTTCGATTTAAAAACGATTTTGCTTCGTTTTTATCATCGGCTTTATTTCGATTCTTTTTACGATTATGTTTTATAAAGTTTTTTAATTTTAGCACTTTTTTTTCGATTAGTTTGCTCGTAAAGATCGACGTACTTTGCGGATTATTATTAAAAGTAATACAAAACCTTTTTCGACGGAAATCGGCCTTTCTTTAACGTTTAACTAATTATTCTTTAAATATTTTTATTATTATTCGTTAACTTTTAAAATTATCGTTAATATCTTTAGATAATCTTTAATTATTAATACGCAAGCTACGCTTGATACGAGTATAAAAGTTAACGTTATTACTTATAACGCCGCAATTAAATTTAAAGTTCTTATAACTTACGATTAAAAGATAAGCTTTCGAATAATCATCGATTCTTTATCGCTCTTTATCAGATACGCCGATAATATATCTATTAATATTAAAAGTGCTACGATTCGTACTCGATTTTACGTTATAGATTCGCTAAAGTTTCGAATTATACTCGATTAATTTTTTATATATAAAGCAAAAATCGGTCTTCGATACTTTTCGAATTATAAAAGTAACTTTGTTATTATTATAATAACTGATCCGTCTACGAGTTAAGTTACACAAGCTAAAATAATCGATAAAACGAATCAGTATAACGAAGCTATCGATCGCTTAAAAAAATAAAGTATAAGCTTTATTTATTACGATAAGTCTTCGAGTAATAGCGATAGCGATTCGGAAAACTAATAATTAGCTTCGTTAAAAGCGCCGAAGTCGATATACTAAAAGCTTTTTGCTTTTCGCTTAATTTCGAAAGCGAGACGTTATATTATCGAAAGAAAAACGACTTTATTACTTAAAAGCAATTTATCGATGTTTTTGCTTTTACGAAATGTAATCTTTTAACAACTTGTTAAATAAATGCTATTAGCATTAATAATTTTATAATCTATTATTACGATCATATTGACTATTAAAAATCGATACTTTATCGAATTCGATAAGAAATCTTTTCGAATTCGGCTAAAGTATTCGATATATATAAGATTAAAGATAAAAAGATCAAGCTAATAAACGAAGCAGATAGCGTAAGAGTAGCATTAAGTAGTAATGTTGATTAATATAAGCTATTAAAAGCTAAAGATACTTTATAAAAGCAAATAAGAAAATATAAGCAATATTTCTTTCCGCGCATTACCGATATATCGAAAAGCTTTCGAATTATACTCGAACGCATAACGAAATTAAATATCAATAATAGTTTACGACTTAAAAAAAAGGATTTATTTAAAAAGATAATGCTAAGTAAAGAAAAGTCAATCGCATTCGCTTAGCAAGAATGCAGCAAATTCTACGACGACGTTTTACTTTCGATTAAGCCTAAAACTATTTTATGTATAGCTTAATAAGCTTTTAACTATTCGTATCTAAAAGCTTTATAGCTTATTATTATTAAGATGCTTTAAGATAAGCTTGATAAAAGAATATTAAAGTATTACGAAAAACCGTATCGAAATTAATAATTCTTAATAATTAAAAAGCAGCCGAGTTAATATAAATTTATTAACTTAGCAACTTTACTTAATACAATTATACGGAAAAACGTTAATCTACTTTCGATTATAAACGAGTTTGCCGAAGAGTTTTTTAATTGTTAAATAGCTAGCTTAATCGACTTTTATTCGAGCTATAATTAGTAGACACTTTATTAGTCGAATAAAAACTTTACCGCTTTTTTTACTTTATTAAATCTCTTTCGATGTATTACGCTTTCGCAAAGTGCTTCGAACTCGATCGCTTAATTCGTTCGAACAATTAATTTTATTTTAAAGCTTTTGCAACTTAAAGTCTTTATATTATTTATCGACGATATTAAAGTAAAAGAATTATAAACGAATTATTCCGACGAAGAAGCACTCTCGAGTATACGCCGATTCGTGCTCGAATAGATTTAAAACATCGATAAGACTTTAAAACGAATTAAGCGCGTTAAAGTTACGATTAAAGAAAAGTTATAATTTTATCGAAATAAAATAAATATAATAAGATTCGTAGTAATAGTAGTAGTAGTAATAGTATTCGTTTAACGTCTACGGGTCGCCTTCTACAGCGAGTCTTTTAACCTTTTTAAAGGTATATAGACGTGCAGCTAGTTCTTATATACATAAGAATACAAAACGCATATAGCGTAAAAGCAGATTTTAAGAGAATAGTACAAGTATAACGGTGTTTCTTTTTGTTAAAACGGTATGTAAAAAATAAATCAAGTATATATATAAGCGGGTTTTTACAAAAGACCGAAGTCAATATCGTATGCCGAAGCAAGCTACGCGGGTAGCTGAGTTCATAACGGAACACTTAAGCTCGTCTAATATAAAATAAAAAAAAGAAGAAAGAAAGAAAAAATTTTTAATAAACAATTAAAAGCTAAATAAGTATAAGCCTTCGTAATAATGATTCGATGTATAAGATCGACCCGCTATTAGTACCGAAAGCAGATTTTAAAATAGAACTTCGTAACTTTTAAAAGATTATAAAAGTCAGTTAACGAAGCTTTAAAGAAGCGTATATAAGCTATCGCTTCTCGCGAAGTAAAAAGCGGAGTAAGTAGTCGTATCCTTTTAAGCTATCGATTAAATAAGCGTTAAGCCTTTTTATAAAAAGCAATATATATCGGAGATTTATCTTTCCGGCAAAAGCAAGTGGTTTTCGCATTTTCGTAGCAGTACTTCTAATAATACTACGCAAAGTCTTTGTGCTAAGTTCGCAACGCGAATAGTTTATATAATACGTATTTAAGCAAGTGTAGTTTTAACGAAGCTTTATTTGCGTACTCGAGACTTTAATCGCAATATTAAGTAAAGAGCTTCGCTTTGCTCGCACTTTATTATCTGTCCCGTGCTTAATCGATTAGAGTCTTAGTAATAAACTTAATCCCGGACGCCGTAAGCTCGAAAGTAAGTCTCGGTGCAAGCTTAAGCTTTACTCTTTTGTCGGCGAGCCGATCCGCCGTCTCGTTACTAATAATGCCGGTATGTCCCGGGGCTCATTTGACGCTGACCTTTAATTGTTTTATGACCTTTTGGATACGCAAGAACGCTTATTAAAAGGTAGCCGAAGCAGTGCTTCGTATGCACCAGATCACGGACGTGCTATTTATGCACAGCTATATGCGGCAGTAAGTAAGGTAATAAGATTCGTATACAATTCGAAAGGTCGTAAACTCGTTACAGATAAAGTTATTAAGATTAATAATTAAAAAACCTTCGAAAACGTTATTAAAGTTAAAATTTTTTTAAGC